ACTATGTTTCATGGTTAATACATGTTCACTTGTTTACTTTCAAAACTCATTAAACCATTTGCTTGTCTTGCCTAGTTTTTGGTGTGTTGCTTTGAGATTCATCATGCTATCTTTTGTGTTTGCTTGTGATACTTGAATGTTCAATATTATAGGTCAGTTTATTATGAATTATTATGTTTTATAACTTCTTACCGTGATCCCTTTTCATCTATCCCTTTCTTGATGCTTACATGCCTTTAGGAACGTGTTAGGGTTTGGTTTTGAGCACTTGTGGCTTCAACCTTTGAATGTGCTTAAGTATGATACCTCAGGTATGTTTATAGTTTATTTGTGTGTATTAAACACATGTCTTAGCTTATAACTTCACACATTTCAAATTCTTAACACCATACCTAATTTCTCACACACTTGTGTTCACCTCACTTCACACCTTTGAATAATGTTTGTGTACTTTGATGCTTATGCCATGATTTCAATGCCCAATTGGATTTCTTCTTGATCATTACACTTGTGCTAACTGAATTAAGTGTCTATTATTGCTCCTATATTATCACATGTACCCTTTATCTTACAAATTATTTCACATGCTAGCACTGCATGAGGACTTATGTCCACCTAAGGTTGTTTAGTTGTCTTTGCTTGTGTCATTTGATTGTGATTCTTTCTCAAGCATTGCTTGTATGATAATGATAACATCTTGATGTATTTGTTACTGACCTATAAACTTCTTCATCTTCTTTTACTTCACCTCACTTCCCTATGCCATGATAAGTTAGACACTTGACACATAAGTCTTCACTAGCTAGTATGCTCAGAACGATACTTTTTCATGTGACTTTTAAGCCATTACCTATTGTGCATAATCCTTAGGAAGTATCTTGATATGAAATGACGCTTACCTTGATGAAATGTGGTTTATATTTGTATGCTCACTACTATCTTATACTTAGGTCAATGCTTGCCATTTGTTTGAGTTTCATCTTCCTCCACTATGCATGCTTGCTTTAGTTAGGTGATGTTTGTTAACATGTGACCTCTTGATGATAACTTGTGATGTATTAAATAATATTTAGGTCTAGTTATTCACTCAAGCCTTTCATTTGTTTGATACTTTTAAGATTGTTTAAAGTCTTGTCTTCTATTTATTTAATTGTACTTCTACTTGCCTACTAAAGTGATTTCATCTTCTTCCTGACTTATGTTGTCTTATTTTGGGTAGAATTAGGATGATAACATGTTAGGGCCAGTAGATTTAATTTGTTTGATGTATTTTTATAACATGCCTTCTTTGGTTGATCATTGTATGCTTGCATCTCTTCTTTACTTGCTCAAAGTACTTGTTTGCTTATCATTTTCTCTCTTCTTCTTTCTTGTATTAATCACATGTTACCTTAGGATTTTAGTTTCATATTATTTAATATGTGAACTAATTAGACCTTAGGTTCTTATCCAAGCATGTCAATATTAGGTATCTTCCTTATCCTCAACATTAAATCCATCTTTGTATGCTAACTTAGGTAGATGTTTCCCTTTTACCCTAACTTTATGACCATCATTGCATGACAATATTAGGATCTTTAGTCTCCTTTATACTTTTTCATTCCCCTTTTTTTCATCTTTAAAACTAAAACTTATTTTTTCTTTATCAATTTCAAAAACACTTAATAAATAATGATGAGAATCACACTCCATGAGACTTAAGAAGTGGAGAAGGATGAGTGGGTCCATTCCTGAAGCTTGTCCTTCATTTCATTCAGTCTTTGTGTGGTTCAAATCTCTAAATCCTTTTTCAAGTAAAAAATACAAACTAATTTAAACCTTTTTTCCTTCATGCTGCCTTCGGGCTTTTCTTTTAAAAATCTTTTCACAAAAAGGATGTGTTATTTCCACTCTACGCAATATGACGTGTGATTCTCCAAAGGTCGGGTTGCAATATGTCAACTGCTAGAGTGTGAATGTAACATTGTCCGCCTAAAAACACAAAATAAACTAAAACACCTTTTTAGGTGAACTACGAGTGCCTTGATCTATCATTACACGAAGAGGGTAAGTAGACACAAAGGTTCGCAACCGCGACGGACATAACTAATAAAAACTTTCTTTTTGTAAATACTTTACATTCATGCATTTTCGCTTAACTTGTTAGCTTTAGACTTGACACACTCTTTGATTAGAACAACAAGAGTGGATCCCGTGGAATATCACAGACGTTAGGGGTGCTAATACCTTTTCCTTGCGTAATCGACTCTCGTGCCCGTTCTCTTGGTTGCGAGACCATGATTTCCCCCTTCTCAGGTTTTCTTCGATGTTTTTCTTTTCCTTCCGTGGGATAAATAAATATTTGATGGCAACTTCATTGCTTATTTTTCTCCTGTTGCCTCAGAAATCTTTCTTTTTTTCTTCCTTATGTGTGCTCGTTGTGCATCTGTTGCACCTTCGACAAGAAGATTCACACCGTTCTCGATCACTTCAAGAACATCTTGGTAGTCAAACAACACTTTCATTTGCTTGCACCATTTATCGTAATTCTTCGCATGAATGATGAATAGATTCGTAGAGATTCTTTCATGGGAGACTGAATTCATGTTGTACACTAGGTGTTTGGTGGATAGAATCAGACTCTTGATGCCAAATGTTAGAACTTGAAACCACAAAATTAATGAAAATGGAGTAATTGAGTGTGGAGAGGGAGAGAATGAGAGAGGGAATTAAAGAGAATATAACAGAGGGTGAGAATATGAACTTGCATTAACCATTGAAGAGGATACTCATTAAGTATTTATACAATTTACAGTTGAATTGAAATATAAATAACATAAACTAAAAACAAAAATTAACTGTATGTAACTAATTACAACTACTGCAAAAACTAAAAACATATCAGTGATAATCAATTATTACAAATATGTAACTAATTACACTCTCAAATAAATAACTTATTTTCACCATATTGAACCTTTTCATTTAAGGATAATCAATTACATGCATGTACTGATCAGTTATCACCCTTGAATTATAGATTTTCTCATAATTGTTAAACATTCAAAAGTTGAAGTTGACATGATTAGATGTTGTCGTTATCTAACTACGATTTTCTTTGTTCTAAATCAAATAAAGCAAGCAGCTTTGATCCTTATTTGACATGGTTAGTGGTTGTGGAATGAAAAGAATTTGTTCATAAGTTGCGTTGATGTCCCACTTAGCAAGAAGGATATTGACGAGCAATTGAAGCTAGAAAAAAAATTAGTAATATACCTCAAAAAGAATAGAAGAATGTTGTTGGTTTTCATTATTTTGTGTTTTGGTGTTATTTGGGGGAACCATAAAATTAGCTGCAACTACTTTACAATAATTTGCAATGGTTAAGAAGTGGATTTTTTAGTGAAGTGGACATAGTTTCAATTCTTACTAAATGCAAAATATTTATTTTGTTAATTAGTCAATCATTATCCAATCATTCTTTAATATACATGACATTAATAATTAACTCATAAATATTATTAATATGCAAATTATTAATAATGTTAAATAATATAATTGAATGACATTACATACACAATATTATCTCCGTCTAGTGTATGTAAGAAAATAATGTGCCAAGATAAATATGAAAGGATCTAAAAAATCCCAAAAAAAAAAAATTAAATAAAACACTGTAAAATTATAAAAATTAAAATAAAATGATAATTTAAAGTATTTAAGTTATCATTTAAAATATAGCACGCTGTAACCTAAATACTAAAATTACATATCGATATAACTTACTATTTGTGAAATATTTATATTTTTATTATTTGATTTCTTCGAAAAAATGAGTTAAAGTTAGAACAATTATTATAATATTAAAAATTGACTGCTTCTGAAAAAAATACTTTCAGATTATTAAAAATAAATAAAAAATTGATACTGGTATATTCTGTCTTTAAATATAAAAGTTTTTTTTTTTTTGTATTTCTAGTAGATAAAAATATATAAATTAATAAAACAAATACAAATAAATTAGATTGTAATTTAAAAAAAAAAAAAAGACAAACTAAATAAAAACGTCAATTCTAACAAAATTTTCTCTCTCTCAGGACACTCTTCTTGTGATATAAATTGGATTGTAAAACAAGTTTTGGAGCTATGGAAAATTCTAATTCTAATTGGAGATTCATGTACTATTATTTATTACTTCAATTATGATCCTTATTAACTAGTATGAGTAATTAAGTTTTTATTGATTAGGATTTGTTAGATGAATTTGTATTAATCTTTTGGGTTATATGTTTGTGTTTCGTACTATTTTCTTATTTGATTACTTCATTATTGTTATTAAGTTTAATTTTGTATTTATTACTTTATATGCGTTTACAAATTTATATGGTGATTACCAACCATAACTCTATGAATCTAAATTAAATTAACCAATTCAACTTGGTAATTGATTAGGAATTAGAAATGATAAGTTGTGACTTAGGATTTAACGCTCTTAAAATTGTTTGTTCTAACTATTCAAGTGACCTAGGGGATTAGGGTATCATAGTTTAGAAGAGTGAGTTCTACACGAAAGAATTGGATATAAGAACTAAGATAAAATAATCATGATCGTTGAATAATCAACTTAGGAAAAATAAACATCAACATCAACAGAAACATATTGAAGATTCATTGCAAGACTTAGTCGTTTTTATCTGATCAATATTTGCAAAAAAATTTATTTCCTAATTTTATCCGTTGTTCTAACAATTTAGTTATAATAAATATGACATGAGTTCAATCTTTACCAAATACAAAATGTTCAATCGTGAAACTAAAAAATAAAACTTTTTAACTAGAAATTAAAAGACAAAAAATTAAAATAGAGAGAACAAAAATAGATTTAAACCAATATCTAAAATATAGTGTATTCCAACGTAACTTATAAAATTATACATACATAATAATTCACAATTTGAGATGCTTTACTCCTTATTACTTTATTTTATTTTGATGAGCATAATTAGGTTGAATACTCTTTATTAGTTATCACCAAACCATCTTCTAAAAGGATTTTCATGTTTCTCTCCTTTATTACCACCTCCACCTGTTTTCTTCAAGGGCTGAACAATGTCATCTTCGTGTCCTTTTTCAGATGCATCTTCCTTTCCATGTAATGATTTTCCAGGTCCAGATATTCCTTGGTCACCATTCATTTTCTTCAAGGGCTGAACAATGTCATCCTCATGTCTTTTTCCAGATGCATCTTCCTTTTCATGTAACGATTTTTCAGGTTCAAATATTCCTTGGTCACCATTTACTTTCTTCAAGGGCTGAACAATATCATCTTCGTGTCCTTTTTCAGATGCATCTTCCTTTCCATGTAATGATTTTCTAGGTCCAGATATTCCTTGGTCACCATTCACTTTCTTCAAGGGCTGAACAATGTCATCCTCATGTCTTTTTCCAGATACATCTTCCTTTTCATGTAACGATTTTTCAGGTCCAAATATTGCTTGGTCACCATTCACTTTCTTCAAGGGCTGAACAATGTCATCTTCATGTCCTTTTCCAGATGCATCTTCCTTTTCATGTAACGATTTTCCAGGTCCAAATATTCCTTGGTCACCATTCACTTTCTTCAAGGGCTTAACAATGTCATCTTCGTGTCCTTTTCCAGGTGCATCTTCATGAGCATTCACTTTCATGCACCACAAGCTTACAAGAAGCATTCCAATGCAGAAAACAAGCACATTCTTTGAATACTTAGCCATATGTGTTAAGTTTTTTTTTTGTGTTCGATGAGAGAATATTGTGAATTTCAAGAGAGAAGAGAGTGTTGGTTGCTTATATAGTATAAGCGAGAAATTAAAGTTGTGGTTAATAATGTTTCTATTTGCGTTACATAAAGAACTAGTCTTAAGGTACTAAAAAAATGTTAATGTCTTAATTTGCTATTTTTAGTTGACATGTGTAATAATAATAGCTAAGTAATTTGTAATTATAGAAAAAATTTAGTTGGGCGGTGAAGAATCGAATTCAATTAAAACTAATTCAACTCATAAATGATGTTGTTACATTTGCAAATTGTGCCTATCATGTAGGAGGTATGGAGTCAATTTTTATTTAGTTTTTAGTGACAAAATGAATATATATATATATATATATATATATATATATATATATATATATATATATATATATATATATATATATATATATATATATATATATATATATATATATATATATATATATATATATATATATATATATTCGTGTTACTCATTTTTATTCTAATTTGATAAATTATTAGTTTTTCTTTATTACCAATTATATTTTTAAAATTACTTATTATAATTTTCACATTTTTGGTCTAATAGCCCATTAATATATAGAACATTATATTTAACAGACATTCTTTTCGTATATTAAAAATGCATTTAGTAACATATAAAGAATAGTAATGAAATAATATTATAAATATAATCAAAATTTATAATAAAAATATTTGTAATCAAAATTATATATATTATTATTATATTTATTTTTTGGCTTTTAAAAAATTTATTGACAAAATAAAAATATATATAATTTGTGTCTTTTTATTTAAAATATATACAAACAAGGTGATTTTAGAATGATACACTCGGTCAAAAGACAACATGCAATATAAATGATCAATTAAGTCATTATTAGTAACACGATATATAAGTATAGATTTTAAAAAAGTCCTATACAAACAATATCAATGATATGGACCGATAGCGCTACTAGTCACATTGTTATACCAAACAATGAGCATTTCTAAACTTCCAAATTTCATAAATAGTTTTCAATAGAAGTTCTCCTATCCTTCTCTTTACTATTGTCAATTATTCAACTCTTCTTTTCAAGCTTGAGGAACATGCTCAATCTACATCCAGTTAAGAACATACACTCAAATACAATTCAAGACTGGACACAAGAATAAAATACATTGAGTAGTTTTTTGGTCCCTACAAAAACAACATATATCATTATCCAACAAACTAAATCAAACCATTCTTTCTTTTGTTGCTAGCCTCTCTTGGCAGACCATCCAAGGGATGAACACTGCTCTTGGTCTAGCAATGTTTCCATGGAGTATTTTCCTCCATGTTACCACTTGATATTTCTCCTTTACAACATGATACATTTTCTTAGTTTGATATTTCACCACCAGTAACATGTTATTCCACATCTGCATCTGAGTTATGACTTGCCTATATTTGAGGATGAACTTAAGGATCCAAGAGCCCGAATTCCTGACAGACAAAGTCATGATGTCCATTTTCTTTGCGTAATAATTAAGGATCCATTTGATCCAAATACTATCAGATTTACCACACGAGTTTCACAAAAGTTTTATCTTTGTAGTTTTGTTCCATTTCTCTAAAGAAATGATATTGAGACCACGTTGATTCTTAGAGGAGCACATTTTGTGCCAGACTATGTAATTTTCCGGTAATCTTCTTACTTTTAGACAAAAAAAAAGGATATACATATAGCTCCATCCTGTTGAATCACTTTATGAATTTTTTTTTGGAATAACCAGGTATTAAAAATAAATTTCGCAAATAACCATGTTTCTGAGAAAATTATACAAATAACCATGTTTCAGAAAACTCCTCAAGGGAGGATCCATCCCACTTGGCACCTATACCTTATTTTTAAGGGGAGGCGCCATTTCACTTGGCGCCTAGGTGTTAAAGCTTTGCCTTAAGCCAAGTGAGATGGCGCCTTAGTGCAATTGGGAGGCGATTTTTCGCGTTTTTTATTTTAAATGCGGTGCGTTACGTATTCAATATAGGATCAACAAAATTGACTTTTTATTTACAAAATATGATTACACACATAACAATTACATAAAAAAATACAGATTAATCAGTGATCCCCCAGAACTCGGTAATGACCCCCGGTTCCACATCCCCGTCCTCGCCTTTCCCGTTCTAGGTTTCGTCGCGTTTCCTGTTGTGGCAGGATCGATGGCCCAGCAAAGTCAATATGTTCCGGATCCATGAAATCAGTCAGATCTCCATATCTAGAAGATCCACTTTGGTACAGTCGGTTGCCCATATCCTCAAAGTTTGGTTGTGTTGGTGGTGGATGGGGTTCCATAGTTGGTCTATAGCACTAGTCGTCTGAGTACGGGGGGTAGAAAGGAAATGGATCTTGGGGTGTTTGGTATTGAGGATGTTGGGTGCTGTCGTGATGTTGTGGTTGATGATAAGTTGGGTCTGTTGGTTCATAATCTTCGGACAATCCCAGATCAGGGCTAAGGTTGGATGTTGAGGGGCCCATATTGGGATATGCAGAAGACTGAAATTGTGTGTGGGGTATGGGGTGTATTGGTATTGTGATTGAAATTGTGGTTGGGTGTGAGGCATGAGGGGTTATTGGTACTGAGGTGGTGATTGTGGTTGGTTGTGGGGCATGTGGGTGTATGTATTGTGGTGGTGACTGTGGTTAGGTGTTTGTGGTTCTGTTTCGTCGGGGGGGGGGGGGGAGGTTGATGTGTGTTGGGTTTGTTGTTGGGGAAATTAGGGTTGTGCCCATTGTGTTCATGGGTCAACCAAATACCTTGGATGAGACACATGCATTTCAGGTGTACTAACCGATCTGTACCAAGATAAATATTGATCCGTGTGTCACATATTACCATGGTTGAGGAAAACTGGGAATTGCAAGACATGTCGGTGACGTCTCTGCCACATCTTACACCATTCTGGAGCAAAATCTTTCCAGTTGGTAAGACCCCATTGGGCGTCGACCCTTTTGAGATGCCATGGGGACAAACAAGTCGGATCACCGGGTATCTCTTGATGCATTCCAAACTGCATCTTGACACGGTCATTGTGGTGCATCTCCACAACATTGAACCGTATGATTGCAGTCTCTGCGCTCCAAATTGCTGCATCCTCGGGGTTTAGTTCATGGTCCAAACCCAAATATGGTCTCCAGACAAACTGCAGATAAAATTAAATCAGGTTAATGAAAATGTAATAAATAAATAATTTAAAAGTAGAAAAGTTGAAAGGTATGACTTACATCATCCGGGCCAAGGTGATCCAATAGATTGTGGTATAGAGCGACATTGAATCTTGGATTCTTTCCGTAATCCATACCCCTCACGCAATACCTAAAGGAATTGAAAAATATTTTATTTTTATCATATATTTGGTGAAGAGATGAATAGTAATAAATGATATAAGTTGATGACTTACTTTGTTGTGTATGGGAAAACGAATGTGTTGTTGTTGGCGGGGTTTAGGGACTCGATCCTCCACCAACCCCAGGCTTGAAGTAAAAAAGCACAACCATAAAATGTACATTTTTCCTTAATTGCATTTTTACACAAGGAACTGTATAGATGGGCTAAAATAGCAGAACCCCAACTATACTTTCTTGTTTTTTCGAAGTCTCTAAGTAAATTTAAATACATAAAATTTACACAATTTCCCGTACTTTTGGGAAATAAAAAGGTTCCAAATAGTATCATTATATAGTTTCTAGCTTTTATTACCTTAGTTAGCTCGGAGGAATTTTTGTTCAATTCCAGAGTCGCAGAATGATTTTTTAGCTCAGTAAGTAGTATGCCCTGACCTCTCGCACCACCACCTTCAACCATATCCCTGCCCAACAATTCTTCACACAGAGAATTGGGTTGTTGAACCGACCCGTTAACCGCCTTACCGTTGATAGGGAGACCCAATAACATGTACACGTCCTCTAGTGTGACGGTGCATTCACCTATTGGTATATGAAATGTATGGGTCTCTGGTCTCCACCTTTCCAACATTGCAAGTATGAACTTTGAATCAATCGTGCAGTTGGATATCTTTATAATGTTTCTGAAACCTGTGTATTCGAGATAGGGTACGATCAACGGGTCGGGAGCAAGGTAGTTGTGTGACCGGATTCTGAATCTTTTAGTATCCTAAGTTAATAATGTAAAAAGTGTAAGAGTAGGTAAGATGAATAAAGCATTAATAGAAGTATGAAAAATGTATAAGTATAAAAGAAACTTACAAATGCTGCAATGTTGTCCCTTTTCCCTCTGTGAGAATCTCACATTGTGAGAAGAGCCATTGTTGAAAATGTCTGAGATTATGAAAGAGTTTGAAATTGTAAGAGGTTATGAAAGAGTTTGTAGTAGAGAGTGAAACGATTATGGATGCGAAAGAAGTATATGTGGCTCTGCATTTATAGGCAAATTTTTATCATAGAGTAAGTGAGGTGGTAGGTGGGTGCATGCATGCATGATTAGTGTCACTCTTGGAGTGTAGGTGCAGGCTACGTGGCAGCGTTGAGGAAGACATCTCTGCATGCATGTAACACGATTGGACGTGAAGGGAGGCGCCATTGGACTTGGCGTAAGAGTACAAAAATGAAAGGTGTCGCCATCCCTATTGGCGAATAAGAGGTTAGCATGGGTTTCAGTGTAGGCGCAGGCTAGGTGATAGCCTTGGAGAAGGCATCTCTGAATGCATGTAACACGATTGTATGTGATGGGAGGCGCCTTAGAGGTGGCATGGGTTGCAGTGTAGGTGCATGTTAGGTGACAGCCTTGGAGAAGGCATCTCTGAATGCATGTAAAATGATTGCACGTGAAGGTAGGCGCCATTGGACTTGGCGTAAGAGTACAAAAATGAAAGGTGTCGCTATCCCTGTTTGCGAATAAGAGGTGGCATGGATTGCAGTGTAGGCGCAGGCTAGGTGACAGCCTTGGAGAAGGCATCTCTAAATGCATGTA